ACATTGTCCTCAATGTGTGCTTAGAATGAATGCTCAAATCACAACAATGAATGAAAAGCACATATTGAAACAATGTCATATGGGCGGTTAACTAAGCATGCAATTCAGCATCAAGACCAATCAATCAATTAAAGCATAGGCATAAATCAATCAAAAGATCAAATTGCATAAAAGAGATAATAATCTCTAGATCCCATACACTAAATGAAATGAAAAATAAAAGATAAAATAAAAAAACTAAGCAAATAAATCTATATGCAATCCTAAATCAAAATCAAAACAAGACATGTCAATAGCAATTCAATAGATATAGATGAAGAGCATAAGAAAGAGTTTAGAAAGGCTTATTTATTGGCGTGCTATCATCATCCAAAGAATGTCAATTCTGCTCAATCTATTTCATCTTTGACAAGTAAGTCTTGGTCTTGATTGTTACGTAACAAATTCAATCAACAAAAAGTTAGTCATATGGTGATAAGATAGCAAAAACTTGCAAAACAAAGAGAATGGAGTTCTCGAATGATCCTTGGGAACTTGTGAAACATCTTAGGAAGGTCTTAACACTCTTCCTAAGTGTTTTGATAGACACAAAGTGCAGCAAGGTCGGCTGTTATGCAAAGTGAAGTGTTGTGGTGTCATCTTGAGCTTTTATGGCTTGACAAGTGAGAATTCGGCACACATCTCTTGTATGCTTCCTTTGGCCTTCATGTGCTTGGTCACGTCTTCTATGTAAGTGAGAATAGGACTCAATAGAAGTGGTTTGAAGTCCTTTGGCCTAGCGCATTCATGCGTGGCTGGATGACGATGAAGTGGTTACCATGTGTTCATGTGGTGAGCCACATGGAACTTTTCTACATTTTCTCACTTTTCTTGAAACTTTGATGATCTAAAACACTTAACAAACACATTAGAACAGTTCACATGTAATAAAAGAAATTCAAGATTGAAAATCAAAGAGATAGTATCTAATTAACCTCCCTTTAATACCATTGAGATTGAACTTGGTTGACTCTTGGTTAGTAAGGGGCTGCCTCCCAACAAGCGTCTTTCTTTAATGTCTTTGGCTAGACTTAGCTTGAGCTCACTCTTCAAAGTCTTTATCATCATAAACAAGATCTTCCAAAGTGATCACTTCTATCTTATTTGTTTCTAGTATAAGTAAAGCCCGTGTAGTAGAAAATTATTCAATTCTTGTCTCTCAAACCCATCGCGTTTTAGTTCTTACATAAAAAAGGCAAAGTTTTAATCAATAGCTTTTTTGGGCAAAAAAAAAAAATCAATAGTAACCTTCTGAGTTGAATACCCCAAAAATTTGTTCAAACCAATTTTTTTACAAGTTCTCCTTTTATTCTGATGGTTAGTCGGTTACCTTTGAACCTCAAGAACAAGGGTTCTGGTTAGGAATATCATCAGATGAAAATTACTAGAAATAACTTTTTTTTTAATTTTTAGATAAAGAAATAACTAATTAAGGCAATTGCAAATATATGATAGACGTCCAGTGCCAATGCCAAGTGAATTTATATAAAATTTATAATGTTGGTGAATACCAAGATATGCTAAATAATAAAGTTGCTACTTGCTAGCTATATATGTCACGCCCCGATCTGAAGGTTCGAAACATAACAACGCCACACACTCACGAAGCGAACCCCAAGAGCATGTAAGGCTAATTATCATTCCAAAATAATTAAAAGTCTAAAATCTTTAAAATCTCTTAAACAAAAATTAATCTTACAATCCCAATAATAAACGATAAACAATGGCGGAAGCGGTCCAATTACATAAATAAAATTCAACGTCTAACTTATTCGTCCTAGCGCACTCTCCCAAATGCACCCTAATGCTCAATCGTCACCACCTGAAATATAATTACCACATAATGAGTTAAAGAGCCCAGTAACCCCTAACCACCAACAATTTAACTCCCTAAGGCACGGGTCCACTATGCAGCCATCAAAGTCCCCAAAACCAATTTATCACAATTTCAAATCAATTTAACAATACCACAATTCCAAATCATTTTACCTTACATGCTTGACCCATTTTACGAAACCATTTCAATAGTTCAAAAACAATAAAACATCAATCATTTTGAAAATAACCAGAAAGGTTCGGAAACTTACCTGATTAGCAAAGCAATCATAGCACAAAATTCACAGCAAGATAAACACAATTAAAATCCTAACAATGTTATAACTATCCGTTAGAAACGACAATTATACACAATAATTATGCATGCTAAATCTGCCCTTCAACCAATCCTAAACGACATTGGGGAACCGCTGAAAATTCCTTTTCAAAATATTTAGAAAACACACACACGATAATTTCCACATTTAACCCAATTTTACTATCCAAAATAACCATTGAAAATATGTTTCGAAATTTCAAGAGAGTGGAACTCCATTTTAAAAACATAAGAATAATACTGGTATTATAATATAATTTTCACCAAAATTTCAGAATCTAACTCTTTAAAATTAAGCCACACTCTCCCAATCATTTTTCCAAAAAGAATAATTTATATAAAATAATTTGTAATCTAAAAAATCATATAAAAATTCCAAAAAATCAGAAATATTTTGTTGAGCAAATACCCCAAATTTCACTTCAAAACGACCTAGTGTGAACTACACTCTCCGATTCAATTTCTGGCCAAGAGTGGGTATCGCCAATTACTGTTCATCTTCTCCATGAACAAATCTGAAAATTCCAGATTCGTCCCATCGACCAAACATCTTTGGAGCTTTGATTCTCTCTCCTCAAAACACGTATGGAGGTAAGAAAGGTACCAATGGACAGAGCTTACATCATACTACAATTACCCCATAAGTTTGGCCTCTAAAGGCCTCCGGTTTGCTGGATTCCGACAAGGAAAGTAGGCCCACCGATCACAATTTTCAACTTAGGGTTTTTAACTTAAATTCATCATAACTTTTGATTTACCCAACCAAATTGAGTGATTCCAAGTTCTATGAACTCCTAATGATTAAAGGAATCTATTGATACCAATTTGGTGGCCGGAGGCTCGCCGGTCGGCGGTTGGTGGCCGAAATTCTCTCTCTTTCATACCAAAACCCTTCCTAATGCATGCTTAGAAGGTGAAAACATTAAGAAGTTGTTAAAACTAACCTCTTAGCACGAAAATATGATGGAAAAGTGATGAAATTAGCCTTCAAAACTCTCTAGCTGTTCTCCTTCTTCTCCCAATTTGTCTAACCCTAGTTTTGAAAAGAAAGTGTATATATTATTAGACTAACTATGCTAATCACTTAGTTTTTAGCCCATAAGTTAAGATATATTTGGGCCCAAAATCATATATATAATATGTTGGGTCGGGGTCTCACATCCTTCCCCCCTAAAAAGAAGTTTAGTCCTCTAAACTTTACGTGCCATTGGTTTCAAATAGTTTAGGATACTTCTCCTTGATCTCCGATTCCAGTTCCCAGGTAGCCTCTCTCTCCGAGTGGTTACGCCATTGCATTTTCACGTATAGAATGGTCCGCCTTCTTAGAACTTGCTCCTTACTATCAACTATCTTAATTGGTTATTCATCATAAGACAAGTCTTCCCTAAGTGGTAAAGGTGCCAATTCAATCACATGATTAGGATAAGGAGTAAACTTTCTCAACATCGACACACAGAACACATTATGCACACCAGACAATAATGGAGGCAAAGCTAGCCGATAGGCTACTTCTCGAACTTTCTCCAAGATTTCAAAAGGACCAACAAATCTAGGGCTTAACTTCCCACGTACTCCAAATCTCATCACTCCCTTGGTTGGTGAAACTTTCAAGAATACATGATCACCCACATCAAACTCCAATGTACTTCGTCTAATATCTGTATAACTCTTTTGTCGACTCTAAGCAGTTCGGAGACGTTCTCTGATCAATTGAATCTTGTCAACTGTTTGTTGGACAATTTCTGGACCTAAAAGCTTTTTTTCACCTACTTCATCCCAACACACTGGCGATCTACACTTCCTCCCATACAAAGCTTCATATGGAGCCATCTGGATACTCGCCTGATAACTATTGTTATAAGCAAACTCCACTAAAGGTAAGTGGTCATCCCAAGCACCCTTCATATCAATGGCACATGCCCTCAACATATCTTCGAGAATCTGAATGGTTCCCTCTGATTGTCCATCAGTTTGGGGATGAAAAGCAGTGCTAAAGTTCAACTTCGTACCTAAGGCTTTATGAAGACTTCCCCAAAACTCAGCCACAAATCTTGAATCGCGATCAGAAACAATTGACATAGGCACCCCATGCAACCTAACAATCTCTCGAACATACAAAGCAGCTAACTTCTCCAATGAATAACCAACCTTCAAAGTTATAAAGTGAGCAGACTTCGTTAATCTATCAACAATCACTCATGCTGACTCATGGCCTCGAAGGGACCTAGGTAACCCAGAAACAAACTCAATTGTGATGTGCTCCCACTTCCATTCCGGTATTGGAAGCGGCTGCAACTGTCCAGCTGGCCTATGATTCTCCATTTTCACCTGTTGGCATACAATGCATTAAGCTACAAATTCACCAATCTCCATCTTTATGTTGTTCCACCAATAAGTCTCCTTCAAATCCATATACATCTTAGTCCCACCAGGATGCACAGTATAACCAGAATAATGTGCTTCATCTAAAATCACTTTCTTTATTTCTACATCATTAGGAACACACAACCTATCACCAAATCTCAAAGAACCATTATTATGGATTCTAAAATCAGACGGAGCACTTGTTTCAATATTAGCTCGGACCTTTTGAAGTGCTGAATCAACCAATTGTGCCTCCTTAATCCTCTCAATCAACGTAGGTTGAATTCTCAAACTAGCTAACATCCCTTCATTGCCATATTTCCTAACTCCAATCTCCATCCTCCTCAAATCATCCAAAATGGACCTTTGAGAAGTAAGAAGAGCTGCAAGACTACCATGGTTCTTCCTACTCAACGCATCAACCACAGCATTTTCCTTTCTAGGATCATAACTTATAGTTAAATCATAGTCCTTCAACAACTCCATCCATCTTCGTTGCCTCATGTTAATTTCCTTCTGAGTGAAGATATACTTCAAACTCTTGTGATCAGTGAAAATCTCACACTTCTCACCACACAAGTAATGCCTCCAAATTTTGAGAGCAAACACTACTGCTGCAAGTTTCAGGTCATGTGTAGGATAATTTCGCTCATAAGGTTTAAGTTGCCTTGAAGCATAAGCCACAACTTTTCCATTTTGCATCAAAACACAACCCAAACCTTTCTTCGAAGCATCACTATATATAGTGAATCCTCCACTCCCATCAGGAACAGTTACCCCATTAGCTGAAGTGAGACGTTCCTTCAACTCTTTAAAACTTTTCTCACATTCATCAGTCCACTCAAACTTAGCACCTTTTCTGGTCAATTTAGTCATCGGCATTGCAATGCTAGAAAATCCTCCCACAAACCTCCAATAGTAACCAGCCAATCCAAGGAAGCTTCTAACATCAGTAGCATTTGTAGGTCGACTCCATTCTACAATTGCCATCACTTTTTTAGGGTCTACTAAGATTCTATCCTTAGACACTACATGTCCAAGAAATGCCACACTATCCAACCAGAACTCACACTTCTTAAACTTAGCATACAACTTCTTTTCTCTGAGAATTTGCAATACTAACCTCAAATGCTCTCCATGCTCCTCCATACTCTTAGAGTACAACAAAATGTCATCTATAAAGACCACTACAAACTTATCCAGATAATCCTTAAACACCCTATTCATCAAATCCATAAAAACAGTCGTGCATTAGTTAAACCAAATGGCATAACAAGAAACTCGTAATGCCCATACCTGGTTCGAAAAGCTGACCTAGAGACATCCTCCGCCTTAATCTTCAATTGGTGATAGCCAGACCTAAGATCAATCTTAGAGAAAACTTAGGCTCCCTTTAATTGATCGAGAAGGTCATCAATAAGCGGTAAAGGACACAGATTACGCACCGTCACCTTATTCAACTCTCGATAGTCAATACAAAGTCTCATGCTACCATCTTTCTTCTTCACAAACAAAACAGGAGCACCCCACGGAGAAACACTTGGTCAGATGAAACTCTTATCCAACAACTCTTGTAACTGCTCCTTTAGTTCGTTCAACTCAGTTGGAGCCATTCTATAAGGAGTTTTAGAAATAGGTGTAGTACCTGGAATTAAATCAATAGAAAACTCCACTTCTCTATCTAGTGGAAGACCAGGCAAGTCCTCCGGAAAGACATCAGAAAAGTCTTGTACAATAGGAATACTATTCAACTAGGCAATTCACATCCAGGTTGTTTTGGATAGAAACAAGAAAACCTAAACATCCAATTTTCAACAAACGCCTAGCTTGCAACATAGAAACAATTCTAGAAGGAGATTTAGCAGGGCTACAAACAAAACTAAATTCCTCAAGACCAGGGATGCGAAAGTCTATCATTTTCCTATGTCAATCTAAGACGACATAATAGCTATCCAACCAATCCATTCCCGATATAACGTCAAATCCATGCATAGCAAAGACAACTGAATCAGGAGGTAAACTCATTTCCGCAATATCACCAAAACAAGATAATGTACATCCGAACTCTCTGCAACCTTGACGGTATGAACCCATTTCGATGTCCGTATTCTTAGACGGCGTATCACAATACATCACAAAATTCATAAGCAATTCGATTATCAATCAATATAAACTAATTATCACAATCATAAGTATGCATATGCACTCCTATTCTACCCATTCCTCACTCATCACGAAATCCGTCCCTAGTAAGTCGCAACCTAAGCTCTGATACCACTAAATTGTCACGCCCCAAACCAAAGGTTAGAAACATAACAACGCCACACACTCACGAGGCGAACCCCAAAAGCGTGTAAGGCTAACTATCATTCCAAAAAAATTAAATGTCTAAAATCTTTAAAATCTCTTAAACCAAAATTAATCTTACAATCCCAATAATAAACGATAAACAATAGCGGAAGCGGTCCAATAACATAAATAAAATTCAAAGTCTAACTTATTCGTCCTAGCGCACTCTCCCAAATGCACCCCAATACTCAATCGTCACCGCCTGAAATATAATAACGACATAATGAGCTAAAGAGCCCAGTAAATAACAAAATCTAACTAGCTGGATTAAGCATTTAAAACCATTTTCTCAAAAATCGCAATCTTTATCAAAACAATATTTTACAATCAATTTTTCAATCACGATCAACAATTAAAAACATTTCAATAGAGTTCTTATCAGGCTGCCACGATACACGATATCACGATACACAATGTTTCAACCGATCGGTAATAGATTCCGGAACCACCAACAGTTTAACCCCCTGAGGCACGGGTCCACTATGCAGCCATCAAAGTCCCCAAAACCAATTTATCACAATCTCAAATCAATTTCACAATACCACAATTTCAAATCATTTTACCTTTCATGCTTGACTCATTTTACGAAACCATTTCAATAGTTCAAAAACAATAAAACATCAATCATTTTGAAAATAATCAGAAAGGTTCGGAAACTTACCTGATTAGCAAAGCAATCACAGCACAAAATCCACAGCAAGATAAACACAATCAAAATCCTAACAATGTTATAACTATCCGTTAGAAACGACAATTATACACAATAATTATGCATGCTCAATCTACCCTTCAACCAATCCTAAACGACATTGGGGTGGGGAACCACTGAAAATTTCTTTTCAAAATATTTAGAAAACACACACACGATAATTTCCACATTTAACCACTTTTACTATCCAAAATAACCATTGAAAAAATGTTTCGAAATTTCAAGAGAGTGGAACTCCATTTTAAAAACATAAGAATAATACTGATATTATAATATAATTTTCACCAAAATTTCAGAATCTAACTCTTTAAAATTAAGCCACACTCTCATAATCATTTTTCCAAAAAGAATAATTTATATAAATTAATTTGTAATCTGAAAAATCATATACAAATTCCAGAAAATCAGAAATATTTTGGTGAGCAAATCCACCAAATTTCATTTCAAAACGACTTACGGGTGAACTACACTCTCCGATTTAATTTCTGGCCGAGAGTGGGCATCGCCAGTTACTATCTTCTCCATGAACAAATCTGAAAATTCTAGATTCGTCCCATCAACCAAACATCTTTGGAGCTTCGATTCTTTCTCCTCAAAACACGTATGGAGGTAAGAAAGGTACCAATGGACAGAGCTTACATCATACTACAATTACCCCATAAGTTTGGCCTTTGAAGGCCTCCGGTTTGCCGGATTCCGGCAAGGAAAGTAGGTCCACCGATCACAATTTTCAACTTAGGGTTCTTAACTTAAATTCATCATAACTTTTGATTTACCCAACCAAATTGAGTGATTCCAAGTTGTATGAACTCCTAATGATTGAAGGAATCTATTGATACCAATTTGGTGGCCGGAGGCTCGCCGGTCGGCGGCTGGTGGCCGAAATTCTCTCTCTTTCATACCAAAACCCTTCATAATGCATGCCTACAAGGTGAAAACATTAAGAAGTTGTTAAAACTAACCTCTTAGCACGAATATATGATGGAAAAGTGATGAAATTAGCCTTCAAAACTCTCTAGCCTTTCTCCTTCTTCTCCCAATTTGTCTAACCCTAGTTTTGAAAAGAAACTGTATATATTATTAGACTAACTATGCTAATCACTTAGTGAGTTTTTAGCCCATAAGTAGACCTGGTAATTCGTGTTCTGACACGATACGACACGGGTCGACACGAGATACGTTTAGCCGTGTTCGTGTTTGGCTTATCGTGTCTCGTGTCTGAATCGTGTCGGACACGATTAAGATTATCGTGTCGGACACGATTAAGATTATCGTGTTTCGTGTCGTAATCGTGTCAAGACACGAGTGACACGCTTTAATTAACGGGTTAACACGATGACACGAAAGACCTGTTACACGACACGTTAGACACGCCTAATTAAAACCCTTAAATAACTTATATTTTAATTTCTAATATTCCAAATAATTATTATTAAAAATATATATTCAATTATCTTTAACTATATATATATAATTATATAATATAGTTTAGTTAATTGAAATATTTGGAAAATTGTATCATGTCAAACGTGTCGTGTCGTGTCAAGATCTATTACACGGCTTAATCGTGTCATGTCGTGTCATGTCTCGTGTATACGTTTATAAACAGGTTTCGTGTTCGTGTTTGGATTTTGTGACACGATTATTAATCGTGTCGTGTTCGTGTCAGGCCTAATATGTGTTTATACCCTATGTAAACACGACACGAAACACGGATTGTCAGGTCTACCCATAAGTTAAGATATATTTAGGCCCAAAATAATATACATAATATGTTGGGTCATGCTCTCACAATATAACTTGGTCTAAAATATATAAAATATAATTTTTGTCATTTTTCATCCGAAATTCGAAAATATCCCAAAGATTTCACATGCATGGACAAAGAGATATACCTACTCCTACTCATAGTAAGCAAGCTTTAAATGTTTTTAGGCTTAAATAAATTTGACACATAACCAACCAAATCTCCTGGACCTCCTCTAATATATTTCCATATCTAAAACTTATATATAATATGTTGTTATTTGCTAGGGCAACAATTTAAAACACGTTTTTCCTTAAAAGAAAAATATTGAAGGAGAAAATTTTAAAAAATAAAATAAAACATATGATGTAGCTACTTGCATCTTTGCGTGGAAACCACAAAAACACTGTTAGGCTTTAGAGATGCCCCTCATTTTCGGCAATTAATCTGAATCCATAAGGAAAAGATTGAATGCAGGTTCATTTGATGTGGCAATTAGTGGCTAACTCTCTATGCAGCCAGCACTCGAGTTGTTAGTTCAACTGGTGAGTGCACCGTGTCTGAACTGTGAGGTTCTGGGTTCAAGTCTCACGGAATGTGAGTTTAGTAGTTTATTTATTTGTTTGTTTGTATGTTAGTTTGGTAGATAGGTTATTTAAAGTAATTTCTTAGTTTGGGTTGGATTCTCATTTAGATATTTGGGCATAAAGATTTATTC